CCATTTAGATTGTTTATTATAATTTCATTATTAAGACCATTCAGCCATTTATGCTCCCAACTCCACATACCGACATTCTTTGAAGTTCCAAAGTATAATCAGTTTAGACTTAAGAGGTACAACCGTACAAATCTACAAGGTACAACCCAATACATAGAATCTACAGTATGATTTTCAAGATTTGGGAATTAAAGGGAAAATCAAGAACCATAAAGTTGTGCTTTTTTAAGGAATGGAAAACACACCTGCAAGTTTAGGGAGAGATCTCCAGTTACCATGTCCATTGTTAGTGATGTAGTCAACAAGAATCTTGTCCTCTTCAGGTGTCCATACTCCTCTCCTTAACCCTTCCTTGTTACAGCAAGGTTTTCTTCCCATTCTATCGTTCTTACTCTCCACTCTTCACCTTCATTTTCATTTTCAAATAGGCACCCAGGAAAAATTTCATCACAAGAGAATAAAGTAAGAGGGGACTTGAAACAAAAAAGGTTTTTTTTAATAATAATTATATGATGCAGGGAGATAATAGTAAGAGGCTAAGAGCAAGAAGCTAATACTCATTAAGCAGTATAGATTTGGACAAATAGGAAAGAGCAAAGACTATATGTCTATATCTCAAGAGTATAAATGCTTCAGGGCTATCTATATTCACAATAATGTAAGCCAGGCCACCATTATCACTTGGTCCCTAAAATTTATTACTACTCCCTCCCTCCCTCTCTGGACTATGAAACACATCCCATTATTAAAAACAATCTGAAGCATTAAATTCAGCAATTTCAGGCTCATAAAGGCAACAAAGATTCCATCTTTCCGACTATAACTCTTTGAGCCAAGATTCTACACCTTCAGATTTTCATTTTTACATCTCAATAAAACAAGCACAGACATTGAGGCCTCGAGGGATTGCAGATATTTTTTAGGGGAGGGGGGGTGATGGGTGGGGGGGGGGGCAGAAAAGAGGGATTACCAAGCAAGAAGGAAGAAGATGGGTGTGGACGATGAGTGAGAGTGAGAGTGAGAAGGGGTGTTTTCCGCTGCTTTTGGGGTTTTCTTTGCGCGTTTCATGAGCTGTGTGCTCAGGGCATGCATAGATGGCAGGAAGACGGACAGGGACGGTCAAATTATGTTGACTGTTGACTATTGGAGGAGTCCTCGCTTTGTTTGTTACCTATGATAGACATCCTAGCTTGAACTCAACTTTTTTTTAATAAAAAGTGGATTTTATTGATAAAAGAAAGTAGTACAAAGTGCTAAAGGAAATAATAAAAATCAGGATCAGGAATCGAAATGGATAGTGATTTGATTAATAATAAAAATTGTTACTTACGTTTCTCCCATTTGATTGTCTAAAAAAATTTGTCACTTTTCTATTAAAGAAAATATTTTATAGTTTTGCTTATTTCTCTCTCCTCTACACAAATTTCAACAACACAATTTTTGTTATTCGATTTTATTTTTCACCTAAATCAAAGAGTGCGAAGTTTATTGAGAAAGAGAGGTAGTATTTTAAAAGAAAAGTAATTTGAAGAAGTAAAAGATAGAGTGGCGAGTATAAGAATATTTTTCGAGTAATTGCAAAGTGAGAAGCTATTAAAACTTCACAACACATTCCCTTACTTTTAGCTTTGAACTTTAAATTGTTTAACCTTTGAGACTTTGACCAGAAGCACATATTTCAAAACAATACTTTATAAGCAATAGAAAACATTGGCCAATTATGAGCTTGTTTGCTAGCACGAAAATCGACTGATTTGGTTGATTCTGCTGAAATTTATGAAGTTTTGACTGAAGTGGTTGCATTGGCCGATCCCGCTAATTTAAGGGGGAAAATTAAAATATATTTTATTAATAAAATAAAGAAAATATTATATGTAAAATAGCTAAAATGGTCATCTAGAGTAACTTCAGCCAATATAGCCAAAAAAGTAACTTCAACCTCACTTTTTCTATTTATTACACAATTCAGCGCGTGAAAGCAAAAATTACATGTTTGGTGAAAAAGTTGGTCGATAAGCCTAATAAGCCGAAAAACAGTGTTGCTAAATGGCATCTATATCTACACTTGCACTACACACAAGAGGTCAAGAGGTTGTCATCAGATTGAATGAGCATTACCTTTTTTTGATCCAAAAGTTGAATAGAGCTAGCCCCGCACTTTCATCTGACAAGGCATCTGAGAGGATGCAAATCCCGGTGACTCAGTCAGCTAAATAGTGGTAGATCTTATACATGTGTGTTTCAGAAGTCAACCAAGCACATATGAGTTGTATCCTTTACACGGTTGTTGCGGGTTTCGATCCTTAGTCAATGTTCTAGTTTTTGCACCACTCAACCAACTAAGCTACTTAAGCGGGTAAGAGCATTACATTCTCATTGTGACTAAGAATGTTTTTAATTTACTTGAAATGCTCTGATTTGATCCGATCTATTTAGTTCTGGTATGATATGGTATGGTCTGAACTAGTCTGATCTGATCCGGTAATATCTGATATATTTGTATTTTATAACTACTAGCATTGATCTGGTTTGATTTGTTATAGTCTGGTCTATTTAAGTTTTATTTGGTCTGTTTTGAGATTTAAATAAATACAAGTAAAAACATACAAAGGTGTATTGGAAAGATTATGCCTTGAACCCAAATAAGGTATCTTGAATTCAATACCCCTCCGTCAAAAAAAGTTCGCCAAATTGACTTTTCTTGATCAATTACAATCAACTTTGACCAATGATATTTCTTATGAAAAAATCTTTTGAAAATTATATCAACATGTTCCCCTTCTTCAAAATGTTTTCATAAAAGTTAAAATTTATAATTTATATAATTTAATCAAAGTATAATTATAATTTAATCAAAGTATACAAAATATTCCATCATTGACCAAGAAAAGTCAATATGACAAACCCCTTTTCGGGACAAAGGTAGTACCTCCTAAGAGCTCGTTTTGATAACCCCAATTTTCAGTTTATTAATCTTATCAACCATTTCCCCCCCTAAACACGTAAATATAAGAAAAGTCGGTATGGCAAACCTTTTCGCGCGTTAAACTGTGTTATAATAAAAACAAGTAAGGGTAAAGTTACTTTTCAAGTTATATTGATTGAAATTCCCGAAGAAGACCATTTTTAGGTATTTCTCATGTAAGTTTTTCTTTATTTTCCTAATAAAATGTATTTTAAATATTATTTTTTCACAATTCAGCAGATTCAATCAGTTCATTTGAATATCACCAATTTCAATAAATTTAACCAATTTAATCAATTTGTGGATTTTCAAATAGTATATCTAAAATGCCTTACGATAATAAAAAAAATAGTACTCCCTCCGGTTCTTAATTAAGTTCCTAGTTTGACTTCACACATATTAATAAATAAATTTGACTTTACTGTGAAGTGCACTATTTGAACACTGTTTGGCACTGTTTAAATACTGTTTGACACTGTTTTGGTGTAAATCATTTGTCAAATAAGGAAAGGTTTGAATTAAGAACTTTAATATGGACCTTCCCAAAAAGGAAAGTAGGAACTTAATTACGGGACGAAGGGAGCATATCTAAAATAACTCATTCTAGGATTTATAACAAATGACTACGTATAAATTGAAATTTGTATATGGAGTTGTTTGGAAAATGGCGTTTTAGCAAAAAATGATGGTTAGACCTATTTTAGCATTTTCAATACATGAAAACGCAATTTGTTAGATAGTTGTTCGGCCCTAGCGCTTTTGGACGGAACTCCTAAAATGGAAATGTTGCAAGTCGGAGAGTTTTGGATTAGCCTTTTGGAAAATTGAGTTTGTACTAATTTTTAAGATTAAACAGCTAAACTATCAAACATCTTCTAACAACTAGCAAACTTATTCCGCTAGTCAAACTTATTGACTGAATCCGTTATTAAGAACATGCTAACATAATTCTTTATCCACTAACCGCTAAACACCAATCGCTAAATCCAAACACGCCTGGTATCCGCCGTGCTAGAACGTTGTTAAATTTGCCACTATCCGCCGTGCTAGAGGCCTAGAACGTTGTTAAATTTGCCACTATCGAATTTGCCAACGTAACATGGTTAAATTTGTAAATTGTTAGCTTTGTAAAGTAATGCTAGCAACACTTTTCTTATTTAAAAAAAATTCAATTGTCTTTAATATTTCTAAATTTTTTTATTTTTCTCTATCGTTTTTACACATGTCCTACACTATTTACTACGGAGTATTTCAATTATCTCGCCCTTAAACTATGTGGAAAGTCTAATATCTCAAATATTTGAATAAGGGGGAAATATATAAACATATTTGTTGAAATTACATGACGTGCTAAAAATATATCAGAGTAAATAAAAGGGGTAATTTGAGTTTGTCAGTTTGCATCCCAATTTATTGTCTAAATTGGACTTTGCACCCCGTTTTTTAAACTCTTTGTTTTTGCACCTCAATCCCATATGAAAAGACAAAATTGTCCATTCATTAACAATTTTGTTGACCTTCAACATATTCCCGATTGAGGGCATTTTTGTCTCTTCATATGGGGTTGGGGTGCAAAAACAAAGATTTTTAAAAACGGGATGTAAAGTCCAATTTAAATAATAATATGGAGTGCAAACTCAAATTACCCCTAAATAAAATAGATGATGCTATTTTGAGAAATCAAGAAAAGCAGGTAATGATTGCCAATTTAACACCCTTCAAATAGTAAACTAATAACTTGGAAGGGAGGAATTAATTAATTAGTACTTCCGTCATACAAACCAAGACAAAATGCAAAATTGCAACCATTGCATTATCCCATTTAATTAATTGAGGGCACGCCTAGAGATTCTGTAAAGTTTAATAATATTTCATATACTTCCGTATTTGGGAATATATTCTATTTTCCTCTGGATTATAATCCCGACTTTATAATAAACTTTTGCAAAGGAAACCTTAGTTGCCAAGTTTTATTCTTATATCCACTTCCCCCTATAAAGTCCCACATTCTTGCAGACATTTTTCACAAATCTTAAAAAAAGTCCACCTCAAAAGCCCAAAACAAGAAAAAGGTCAATAGGTAATTTGCATAGTAATTATATTCACAGATTAAAACAATCCTAGATGGCTAGATATTGATCAAAACTGTCCATATTTTTAGTCATTTTTACTTCTTTAGCAGGTATTGGTATCCACTGTCATATTTCCAAAAAATGAAGTATAAACCCTCAACCTTGATTATATCTATGGCTAGGAATGGTGAAGTTTACAATAATTGGAAGGGTGAGAGATGGAATGGCACTTGCAGCAGGTAAGAGATATGTGAATGAAGAAAATGATACTTTCACCACTTACAAGCAACAAGGAGAGTTCATTCTCCAAGAAATCTCAAGAGGGGACTTGCCTTCTTCCAACATGACCATTCATGTAGATCACCATTACTTCAGGTATAATCAATTCCCATATCAATTCTTAACTTCTGTTCAATACTTCAATCTTAGTTCTTGTTTGGCAATGGTCAATTGAATTTTTTACAAGGACTTTAATTATTATGCTGATAAGCAAATCCAGATTAGCAATAATGCTACCAAACAGTACTTTGCTAAAGCAAGTTCCTTTTAGCAAAGGCAAAGGACAACTCAAAGAGCACAATTTTAGTTTGATCACCTTATCATTAAGGATAACATATAGCAAATTAAATTGCCAAAGAAGATATCCAATTTTCTTTATGAGAATTATACTCTCTACCAACATACTTTGAGTAATTACTTCTATCTTCACCATGCGGTTTGAAGGATTATGGTTGAAAGTGGAGTATGTTTTATGACACTGTGTGACTCATCCTATCCAACAAAGCTAGCATTCCATTACCTCAAAGATTTACAACGGGAGTTTGACAAGTTGGATAGGACACTTATGGAGAGAGTTTCTAATCCATATAGCTTCCTAAGACTTGGTATACATATCTATATACTAACTCAACATCAAAGTATAGTACACAATCTCAAGGACAAATGCGAGAACAGAAATCGGATTTTATTATTTCCATTGCAGATACAATCATTGGCAGTGTTGGAAAGAAATATGTTGATACAAAGACACAAGCAAATATATCAAAGATGAAAACTGAAATTGGAGAAGAACTAGATGTCATTACAGATGACATGTCAGAAATAATAGCCCGAAAGCAAAAGCATGGTAAGATTACCATTCATAAACCTTTACATATCAATGCTGTTGTTTCCAGTTTGATAATGTTCAGTGTAGAAATAAGGAATTCATTGGTTTTTTGGAGACCTCCTTGTATAGAAGTAAAAATAGGTGCTTCCCATGAATACGAGTACTGTGTTTTATTCTGTAAATAAAAGTAAAGTATTTCATCCTGAAAACTGAAAATGTACTGTCATCCCTGGATTATACTTCTATGTAGTACTCCTAGTTATGGAAACCAAGGGTAATTTATATTTTTTTGCCATTGTTACCAGAGATTCTGGAGAAAATGAAAAAAGCAAACTTGAGTGATTCTCCAATCTGGGGTTCAAAAATTCTTGAGGTATGTCATTTGTGAGAATGTGCTGATGCTAAAGTTCATAGATTTGCTAAAGATTTGACACATTTTCTTGTCTGATTAGATCATTGCTGTGAAATGGATTCCAATTGGTATACTTGTTAATGTAGCTGTTCTTCTTCTTTGGAGCAGTTCTGTTTTCAAGGATGAATTCCAGTGATTGGTCTTAAAGATTACTGTAATGTGGTATAGGTTGAAATTATGAAGTAGTCACATACATGAGCAGTGCTAAAAGCAAACCTATCCATGTATATGAATTCAAAATGATTTTTTTTTTCATTCATCAACCCTTGCACTATGAAGAAGGTGACATTGTTGTCATAGAATTATTCTTGATGCATCCTTCGTTTTTGTTATGGAGAATGAGTAAAATTAGAATTACAAAATGTAAGTTAAAAATGATAAACTCACTCTTATAAACTCCGCCCAATTGTAATACTATCCTTCGTTTTTTGTTGCAACATAGAAAATTTACAATATTCACATGCTCTACTTTCACTACATTTTATTTATCAATATATGAAGATTATTTAAAAAAAAAAATATTATTGAATTCGTTTCATTACAAATTTTCATAATTTGATTTTAATTTTTTAGAAATAGAAAAAATATAATGACGATCAAAGTTTTGTGTTGACTAGTGCTAAAATGGGAATATTACAACTAAAATGTGTTTAAAATGTGTACTCTTGACCCACGAGAGATTAAAATATGTACAGACGAGCTCGTTGCCCTCATGAGTTAAAAATAAAAAAGGCACGACTTTAGATTACCCATTCAAATGACATTACATCTCCATTATAGGAGTACGTAGGCATTCAAACGACATTACAAACTATGTTTGACGGTCCAAAAGTTTCATTTTGAGTTCACTCATAAGTCATAACAAACACAAACCTGAATCAAATTATGTTGAAGAAGGTAATATTCAATCATCTGAAGCAAAGAGAAGGACAATCCATGTATATCTTGGAGAAAAGTAAAGAAGAAAGACATGGTCTAGCTAAAAGGTAATCTAAATTAAATCTAAGTAAGAACAAGTTCAGTCTAAAAGCAACTAAATGTTGACTTGATCATCCTTCATGGCCTCTAGCTCCTTTTTATTGGTGATTAGAGCAAGTCGATCTTCATCATATGCTTTGACAATCTTCACAATTTCTAAAATATCCTCCTCAACCTTCGAAAGAGAAGTCTCTAAATAAATAACCATGTCACGGAGTTTATAAACCAAAGCTTCATTTTCTTTAGCTTCAGCAAGTGCCATCTTCACCACTTCTTTCAACCGAGTTATCTTCGCATTCAATAAATTTAACTTCGGAAGGATGACATTAAATAATGTCACTTGATTTTGAGATATCCTAGCTTCTATATTCTCACAAAAAGCTCGTGACATAGCCGGTTCATCAACACCCTCACACTTTATGTCTCTAAAGAACACCATTTTCGCACTGCAATGAGAAAAGACTTTAAGCATCTTCAATGCTAAAACGTTAACGGTGCATACGTGACATGAGAAATAATCAATCAAAAAAGTCCTTATTTGAAGGATCTTACATCATTTTGGTAAATTTTTCTTTACAATGTCAAACACAATGTGAATGAAGGAGAGAGAAATGTCATAAAATCAATATTTTTCTTTACATATGCTCTTAGTTAAAAAGGAGGGGGCATTGTTATGGAAAAGAGGAACCTCATACTTTGAACTTTAAAATAATAAAATAGCTCTAAAAGGGAAGTAATAAAATCCCCAAGCATCTCAAAATTGGGCCATTAAAATAACGGCCCTCTTAAAGAGGGCTCAAGGAATGGGCCAACATCGAAATTCCGGGAGCTTCTTTCCCCCAGCAAATAACGCTATTATTTGCTTGAGAAAAGTGATCCTATCGCTGATAATGGCTTCCCTTCTTCAACCTGGAATGAACTTTTCATTTGAATCTCTTTACTGGTAGAGAGAATAAGATGAACTAAGAAACGGCTCTATTTAAAACGACGAATTAATGGGTCTTCTGTGAATCTGTGATAACGTCAAAATCATGAAGGTTCAATAGTTGGTCTGGTGAGATTTACCTACTGGTTCAACCATTAAGAAAATTATAAAATAGGCCATTAAACCGTATGAGCATAAATGGAGGGCTCTATCTGGTGAGATTGAAATCAATTGGGCACCATCAATAGAAACTGGAATTTGCTGTCTATCGAAGGGATCTTTACCCTGCAAAACATCGAAAGGAGAAGAAAAATAAACGATGGGTACCTATTGTTCTGCTATTACTTTGCTCCCTTCTTAGTTCTTACCCGGAGTTTATTCAAGCTTGTTCAGGAGAATATATAGCAAGATTTTGAATCTCAATTGGAAAACAATGAGCCCGAGACGGCTAGAACTAAGAACTTAAGAAGTCCAATTGGGACTCAAAACCTGATAAGTTTTGGGTATGTTTCGTTAAGAGTTAATTACCTTAGGTATTAGTAAAACTTCTTCACTTTCTCAATCTACGACTTAACTAGTTTTTTTTACCAAAATATTATTAACTAGTATCTTTTCCCGTGCTGTGCACGGGATAAAACGATTTGATTTAGGTTTACTGCATATGTGTGTGTGCGCGCGCGCTGACATTTTTATGATTTATTATTAGAACTAATAGAAAGTCCCTTGTTTAGTCAATTATAACATTGGTTGATAATGAATATTCTTATTTATTGAGCATGCCCTATTTTTAACTAATTATCCAAACATTTTCTCACTCTATATTATCCAATTGAGAAAAATAATTAAAATACCCCAAACTATGGAGGGATGTGAGATTATCACCCCAAACTTGCATATGTAATTTAAATACCCCAAACTTTGTATAAAATGCTATTTTAGCACCATGGTCATGTATCATTTCTTTCAAAAATGTAAATTTATGATGTTAATTGCATAATTTGAAATCAACCGGCAAATAAATTCTAGCTTTGAGACTGAGGGAGCACAATCTAGTAAATTGAAATTTGAAGCACTTTTACTACTTATGCAATGTACAGATACACTTCCCACAAGGGCAAAATTGGGATTTCCCACTAAGCAAATGCCCTCCCGATCGAATTCTTATTGTCGAGATGGTCAGATAAACATAAGGGGTATTCTAAACGGTACTCGAATGTTGTTTGTGTTAAAATCACAACCAAGGTTAATAATTTTAAGGGAAAATGGAAATCAATAATCCAACCTTTTAGCGGTATTCTTTTAATAGTCTGACATTTTCGTTATTCATGAATAATCTAACCTTTGCACCTCATCTTCATTCGCAGGTCCCTGACCGGTTGATGACCTGCTATTCCGAGTTATTTTTCTTATCTCTGCAAACTATTATACCATAAATTCCACCTTTCACAAAGATAATATTTTGCAAAGATAAGAAAATAACTTGGAATAACAGATCATCAACCGGTCGGGGACCGGTGAATGAAGATGAGGTGCAAAGGTTGGATTATTCATGAATAACGAAAAGGTGGGACTATTAAAAGAAGACCGCTAAAAGGTTGAATTATTAGTTTCCATTTTCCCTAATTTTAATTGATTCGAAGTGTTTAAAAATTACTCCCTCCGTACATTAAAAATTTTCCAAGTTGACCGGCATGGAGAATAATTATGTAAAAACATGTAATTGTTATTTTTTATGAGGAGGAAGAATTAATAGGAACCATATAATTGTTTAAAATGGAACTGACAAAATTTAGAGTTTTTTTCCGAATTAATGTTAATTAATTAATTAATTACGGAAATAATGCTGGAAAAAAAGTATTTACCAAAATACTGTTGGCCCTTAACCACGGTCAGGGGTAAGTCGCCCAACGGTTGGGCGACTTATAAGTCGCCAAACGGTTTGGCGACTTATAAGTCGCCCAACCGTTGGGCGACTTATAAGTCGCCCAACCGTTGGGCGACTTACCCCTGAAATATGGTTGAAGGCGAGCAGCTACTGCCAGCCAGGCACGATCGTGCCTATGTCCGAAAACAGCATTTCATCAGGTTTTTCGCCTCGGTTCAACCCAGACTCATCTGTTTGCTATAAATAAGGTCTCCCTTCTCCTGTTAAAGTATTACGAACTAGATACAACACATTATAAAACATACAACACACGTCTTCACAATGACCTACTCTCAACAATATTAAGAACACCTTATAAACACCCGTAAAAAACCTTCAAATCATAACCGGAATAACACAATACAATCATCATATATGCCATAACAAGTAATCATCTAATATTCATACTCGAACACATCAATACACCATACAATACTTAACAAGACAAAATACATCAAAACGTGTACATTGTTCGTACAACATCTACTGCATAAGAAAAACTACAATACAAAAGACAAACTACAAGTTCTCATCATTAGCTTCGTCATGGAGATGTTGCTGCTCATGTCTACGCCTACGGCGTTGTCGTGGTTGAAGAACCACTCTCTCATGTTGCGTCTGGGATGATGAAGTCGCGGCTGCACTAGACGTGGATGCCATCTCCCCTGAGATGGGGGCATGTGTATAAGATGTCCGTAGTCTACTCGGCCCAACACATCTGAGCACAACGAGGCAATGCCTGTCAGAGCCTGTCCATACATGTCCACATCAGGAATATCAGTCACAGTGGCAGTAGCCCGCTGATGTATGCGCTGCAAAGCTCGTGTCTGAAATATGAAACACAATTACAATTACATTCAAATACATACAAGTATTACATAAATAAAATGACTTACTTTACTAATTACTAATATACTCACCGTAAGATGCAAAGCCAAGGAGCTAGGCTGATAATGATGAGTAGGGAGTCTGAACGAAGGAGACACAAATAACCGAGTGATGTTGTAGTACCATCCCATGTAGTCTCCTGAAACAGATGGCACATATGTGGGTGTCCCAACCACAGCTAGCTCAGCTCTCCTTTCCCACATAGTCACGTATCAGACATGTCTGAGTGCCCAATCCTCTGTATGCTTCCCACGCCTATCCAGCTTATGCAGCTCTACATAAGTGTCGATAGGACGTGGAACGACCTGCTCAAACCCAAACTGTCGCATGACTCTATCAGGCAAATGCAGCTCAACAATGTCAAAACATATCAACGGGACACGTGCTCGCCAGATGTGAGTATGCTCTCGTCTAGCTGGGGGCAACTCTGCTAACATATCAGGTCTAAACGGCATCCATGTGATCTGTTTCATAAACATACAAAATTAGACTTTATTCTACACCTATTCTAGTTAATGTTATACTACATACACCATACCTGGTCCTCGGACATCTGAACCAATGCATCCCTGTAGACACCAAGCCCAGTAGCGGATGACATGCGAGATAGACCAGCATATAGCCACCTAACCATTCATGTAACAATATCAATAATATGGATATTATTAATTTATTAACATTCAACAAATACTCACATAAATACAAACGATTGAAAACATACCGACGGCCTAGAGGGTCCTCGCCCCGTACATGATGTGGTCCTAGCAGACGTGGAGGCTCATCAGGCAGTGGATGTCCATCAATGCCATGATATCCGACTATAATGGGACGGCCAATGTGGATATACTCCCATGACCAAATCTGGAGGAGTAGCAAAAATCCCCCCAGCTCTGTGCTCCCTCTCTGGCAGCCGCGACACAGTTGCCTGTATAGATAAGCCAGGGTGGCACTACCCCAGCTGAACTGTGCTGCTACATCAAACCTCTCCAGCAAAGGCAAGTGTAGCACCTGAACCTCATTTCCGCTCTTGTCAGCGAAAATGGAGGCTCCCATCATCATCAATATATACGCCCGAGCATGCTGCTGGATGATCACCTCATCAGCGTCGGGAGGAAGGACCTGGAAGTGCTCCCTCAACCACGGCATCCTAAGAGATGACCCCTGAAGGTCAGTCCTAAGAACGGGGCGGATACCTAACAACCGCTCACACTCATCAACCCACTGTCGACAAGCAGTGCCGGTAACAGCTCTCCCATGAACCTCTAACCCGGTGAGTACAGCCACATCTCCCAATGTCACAGTCACCTCACCAACAGGGAGGTGAAATGAGTGTGTCTCCTGCCTCCAACGCTCAAGTAGAGCAGTGAGAAGGGATCTATCAAGAGGCACAGTAGCCACTAATCTGTGCAGTGTAAAAAAACCAGCAGCACGAACATAGGCTAGGACTCTGGGGTCGACATGTAAATGGGACAAACCCCGCAGGTGCTCGCGGCACCTATCAACCTGGACATCCATGCCAAGCCAAACATCCTCACTCCTGTGCGAGGCCTGCAATGTCAGGACAGAACGATCACTCGGCCCAGGATCCGCTATCACCTCCATGCCTACAAACAAATAAAATTTGTATTAGTTCTAATTGTATAATGTATTACTTTTTTTTAACATTCCTTTTTGAAATTATTAAGTTTCCTTGCAAGGAAAACATGATTTATGATTGACTCTAAATAGAACCTTACCCGGCGGACCCCCCCTCTTGTCTAGACGATCTTTTCGCACATGTCGCTCTATTATGGCCGGTTTGGTGGCATTTTCCACATCTAACCGTTCCTCGTGGACCTTCATCCATCTCATTCTTAATACGGGTCGACTTTGGTCTTCCCTTTGCCCGAAGCATGGATGGATCGTGCACGATTTCGGGTCCATTGTAATTTGGCCAATAATCACGATCAGGAATCGGTTTGAACACCCTATGATATGTGGCGGCGTATTGGTCAGATGAGAAGAACTTATCCACAAAAGGAGCATAAGACAAACTACGTTGTCTACACACGGCTAATACATGAGAGCATGGAATCTTTGACGACTTCCCTGCATTCACCCCTGCAAGGACATCATGCCTAGATACAACAACATTTGATGTCGATTGAGTAGCATTAGCGTCAAAGCATTCCTCAATGTATACCTCCAGCGACGACATATCCTCCATCTGAATTATGCCCCACATATTTGTTATAGCTAGCTCATCAATGAGGGGCATAAGCATGTACTTTCCCCCGTTCATAGGAAATTTCATTTTCAACCGCAAAGAACGGTTAGGATGAATCATTGTGGCTGCATGTATTTTTTGAAGGATCTCGAGCATGCAAGCGCCACGAGAAACCATGACAAAGCTGGTTCTACCACCTTCATGGCATATTTTCCCATCATTCTCATTATAGTTCCCTCCCCAATGACACACGAGTGGGAAGCTTGAGAAATCCATATTCTAATAACAATTCATTGTCCAACATTCATGAGTAGGCATCAATATACACACTTTATACACATTCAAATTTTCGATAGAAAATGCTTCCAAAATTGTAATATATCCTAAAATCCAAATTCACAAACAATTCACATTTCAATAACAAACTACCCAAATTTTGATATCTACATTCAATGTCTACCTTTCAATACCCAAATTTAGCTACATTCAAGTCTACCCAAATGCCCAAATGTAAAAATACACATTAGATTTTACAATCAATGTAAAATCAAATTTCAACATTTCATACATATCCACATTTCACAACAACTCAATTCACAATCAATTCATAATCCAAAAATTCAAAAATTATAACATTCAAAACCCTAAGTTCAAAAAGAGATGAAATGGATTTGGATTTACCTAGAAGAAAGAAGATGAGTGTTGAAGAGGATGGAGATGAAGTATTCTTGGGAAGAAGGAGGAGCACTCGCCGGAGCTCGAGAATCACCGGTCGTCGCTCGCTGCTGCTGGGATCATCGGCCACTGCTGCTCTTTCAAATTGGGGAAGAAGTGTTCTGTCTCGCTGAACCGACCCCGTTTTTACTTAAAGGGAAAGTCGCCCAACGGTTGGGCGACTTATAAGTCGCCAAACCGTTGGGCGACTTACCCCGACCATGGTTAACCCAGCAGTATTTTGGTAAATACTTTTAACTCAGCCATATTTTCGTAATTAATTAATTAATTAACAATAATACGGAAAAAAACTCACAAAATTTATGGGACGACCAAAAATCACTTGCTTAAAATACTACTCCTTCCGTATCTAATTAAATTGCCCCGTTTGCTTTTCACACAGTTTAAGAGAATTACTGTAGACCTTATAAAAATAAGAGGTTTTTGTAATGTAGTGGTACTGTAGCGGTATCATAGTGGTACTGTAGCTACGTTTTGAGTGAATTTCTTTCCAAAAAAGGAAATGAGACAATGAATTTGATACAAACAAAAAGGAAAGTGAGACAACTAATTAGATACACAGGGAGTATATTAACCAACCTTTACCGAATTCCCAACATCTTCATTTTGAATCAATGGAGTGTCATTACACCAGCCTAAAGCCGCTATTGAATGCGATAATAGTATTAGTAAACTTGTTTATTACGAAGTATTAGACTTTGGAAGCTAACTTTATACTGGGCGTGAAATAAAAACGTAAAAATGTGTGATTTATGTTTATGCATAGGAGAGCAAAACAAATTGAACCACAAATTTGTTATTTCAAAAGTAAACCAACAAAGTTTTAGGACAAATAAAATATAAATTTTGAAAAATAATTTAAACGGAATGAAGGGAGTTTAAAATAAAATAAATCGACCGCTACCAATGACGTTATGCAGCCGGACTGTCATTGCCGCCATTACCTTCATTGAAATAAAAAAAGTCACAAAATTATGTATTCTAATTAATTCTTCTCTTAAAGAAGGAGATAGAAGGACTAATTTGCTCAATTCTAAATCCTAGAAGGGCTAATATTTAAAAAAAAAGACCACACCATTATTAAATAAATAAATTACAAAAATGAGTGGTTATTAGTTTTGAAAAAACAGTGAGCTACAGATGAAATCTTAATGGCTAAAAATAGGCATTGAGCATTTTTTTTTGTTTATATAAAGATGTTTGAAAAGACGAAATTCATTTGGATGCAACAGAAGCTTTTAAAAGATGTGCTTTTTAATTGGATAATATATACTGACAACATGTTTAGATATTTAGTTAAAAATAAGACATATATACTCAATAAATAGGAAAAATGGAAACTAATAATCCAACCTTTTAGCGGTCTTCTTACAATAGTCTCATCTTTTCATTATTCATGAATAATCCAACCTTTGCAACTTATCTTCATTCGCTGGTCCCTGACCGGTTAATGACTTGATATTATAAGTTATTTTCTTATCTTTGCAAAATATTATCTATGTCTAAGGTGAGATTTATGGTATAATGGTTTGCAAAGATAAGAAAATAACTTGGAATAGGAGGTCATCAACCGGTCAGGGACAAGTGAATGAAGATAAGGTGCAAATGTTGGATTATATGAATAATAAAAAAGTGGGATTATTGTAAGAAGACCGCTAAAATGTTGGGTTATTAGTTTCTATTTTCCCCAATAAATAAGATTTTTTTTACTCCAGAGGCCGTGTGGGGATAGTGTTGGGGGGCATGAGTAATCGAGACTGAAACTCACTTTATTGAGTTTCGAACCCGAGAAATCTCGTAAGGGAAAGTGAGTCGGCGACCAACTGGACTAGATCGCAAAACTAAATAAGTGACTTTACGTTAATTCTAATAAGGCATACATATGACAATGCACGTGTACACACATGTTAAAAATAAAATTAGCCATTTTTTCCGTGCACGGCACGGGTAAATATAATAAATATTTATAAATCATTTTTCTATCAATTATCCATATTTTGGTCATATATTAAAAAATCATTTTCTTAGGAGACATTCCAATTTTGATTGTGATTTTTTGGATATTCCAATTTTGATAGTGTTTTTTTTTTAAGTTTTTGGATATTCCAATTTTGATTGTGATTTTTAAAGCGTGTTATTTCTAGTGCTCGTTAATTAGAAACAGAAAGCTTTACATTAATTTTGATTTTTAAGAAATTCCAATTCTGTTGAACTCTAATTCTGATCTATCTTAGTTCGAATTTTTAGCAATTCAAATTCTAATCTACATAAGAGTTTTTTAAAGTGCAAGGTTTTAGGAGTTTTAACTACGTACTAAAAACTTTTTGGAGTAATAATCTACGAATAAGTATTCTAGATTTTAGGGAGCTTTTAATTGCTTCTAAGTTATTAAAGGTGTTTGGTCATGAATAATACTAATTAAATGGATTTGGACAAATATGTGAACTCTTTTATCGATTTCCAGAAAAGAGACAATTCGGCACTCTCATTCAAAAATTTGGGAAACGAAATTTCCTATATGCCCCGCTACCCGCTAGTAATTACGAAGTACGAAGTATAACACATCTTCAGTTTCATTGCTGGTCCCGAACTTTTCTTTTCTTGAACAGTGGCTTGGCTGGCCGCTAGTTAATTTTGTACGTAAAATCAATGCTCCAAGCTATTTGCCTATTTCCCACATTCCACCGGTGCTAGTAAGGACAATAGTTTTATTTTTGGCTTTTATAATCTTCACCATACATGGTTCAAAAAAAAATCTTCACCATACATTTATCCAATTACCGTTTATAATTACCAAATCCGATCAGTTACAATTATTCGTTCGATCAATTATAATGTACTCGATTATAATTTATAATTACTTGATCCGACCAGTTACAATTATTCGCCCGATCAATTATAAATTTATAATTACCTACTTTGACAAGTTATAGTTAGCTAATTTGATCAGTTACAATTATCCAACCCGACCAGTTACAGTTACATGACCCGACCAGTTACAATTACATGACCAGATCGGTTGTTACCTGACCCGACCAGTTATAGTTCCATGACCCGACCAATTACAGTTACCTAACTCGACCAGTTACATTACATGACTATACTAGTTGTTACCTGACCCGACCAGTTACAGTTCCATGACCCGACCAATTACAGTTACCTAACTCGACAAGTTACAGTTACATGACCAGACCAATTGTTACCTGACCCGACCAGTTACAGTTACATGACCCGACCGATTATAGTTACCTGACTCGATCAGTTACAGTTACATGACCACACCAGTTGTTACCTGACCCGACCAGTTATAGTGACCAAACCAACTAATTACAATTACTTGACCTGATTAAATATAATTACTCGATTTGATCAATTACAGTAGCTCTACCCGATTAATTCCAGTTACCAGACCCGATAATTACATTTACGGTTACAAATCCACCACCTAATGACATTTTCATACAAAGCTACAGTAACAGCGTTGAGACACCGTGCCGCTGCCGCCACGGCCACTGTGACGCCGCCATCGCACCGCCGCACCACAAACAGCCTATTGTCCGCTGCCCCACGCCCCAACCCCAACTCCTCTGCCTCCACCCTTTGATCCCCATCCCGCACCTTGACCCATGTCCCCTCTCCAGATCCAAGTCCAACAAGCCCATCCCAGCCCCGATTCACATATCCCTAGTCTGCCGCCGCCCGACTCTAACCACCAAATATGAGCCGCCAAATCAGATCTAGAATTAGCAGTCTCCAACTAAGCCGCCGCAGGGAAACAATACCTTAGCCAGAGTCATCCTCATCCGTACAATACTGTGCTTGGATTCTGATCCCTTCGCTCTCAGTCGCGGGAATCGTCGCCATCCATGGGGTCTGACAGAAGATAGAAGAAAGAGGAAGTGGCTGGGTAGCAGCGCGGGACGAAGTCGACAGTGCGGCGTGCGATGAAGACGGCGGGCATCACCTGAAACGGAGAAGGTTGCAGGGAGAACCATGGCTAAGGTTGCAGGTATGAAGATGTACGCAAATGGGGAGAGTTATGGGCGTAGGTACAAAGATGAAACAGACCATCCATATTCGGTAATGATAGATGCTAGGGTTAATTTTGTAAACTCATATTGGAAATAGTCTCATTTATGAAAAAACGGGAAAGCTATCTATTTTTGTCTTTAGGTCTCGTGTGAGTATTATTAAACATATTTTTTCAAAAGAATTGCTTAGAGAATGACATGTGACAAAACTTTCCATAACTGTATCTCTCAAATGTATTATCTATAGATATTTAATTAAATTCGTAATAATTAATTAAATAAAAAATATAGTTGGACAAATATACCTTTATGTTATATTTACAAAACCCTAACCTCCTACTCTTTTCTCTCCACTCTCCCAACTTCAAAGATCCATCGGCCTGCCTCCATCCACCATCCTGCGTAGCTAACCCACGCCTCTGCCTGCCGCCACCCCATGGCCAGCCGTCAGTCGCCGTCCAAGAGCAAGATCGTCTGCCAAATTCATCCAGCCGCTGCTGCCGTTGTAACACCGTCCCTAAATGTATTTTACTTTAAAGTGAATAATGTATTAGACCTTATGGAATGGTTAATAAATTTACGAAGTTGTGAATTTTATTAATTCTTTCACGTGAATAGTGAATTGCACGTGGGGCCCGCACCGGGAGCGGGGGCCGCCCGAAATTTCCGAAACCATATACTTTATTTATTTTGGTCAAGATAATAATTACATAGTAGTGGGTAATTCATTTGGGCCAAGGGAAAGGTATAATGTAAACCGATTGGTCAAAAGTGGCTCAAATACCGGTATTGGTAATTTAACCGATAAAAGCCCGAAATGGGATTTCGGAGACCTATAAATTAAAGTTGGGAAATGTACATTCATTATAAAGGGTATAATGATTAAGAGCACATAATATATTTTATTCGGCCCGATAAAATAAAATATATTTAAAACAGTCCGAAAAATACAACTTTCGGGACCGATTGTACACTTCTGGACAAAAAGGGTTGACCCCCCACATGGGTGGGGGCCAACCCACGAATTTAGCTACCCAAATTGAAGGGTGTGGCCGGTTGATGTGTTGGAGGTGGATGGGAGGAGAGTG